ATATATAATTTTGTAATAATGAATAAATTTTACATAAATATGCAATAATACTACGACACAAACTTAGTTATCAACATTTTGATACCAACACATGTGCCATACCACATGACATGACAACCATGTTTTCTCGTCGTCTTGTATATTTTCTTTTGGTCTGATTCATTCTTTCTCTCAAGGGCTGCCCTTAAATTAATATTTTAACAATAAATAAATATACAATTTCAACACCAATAGGCATAGTCAGGGATCTTCCACATTTGTATTTGGTGTAAAAGTTTGTCCCAACATCAATTTTAAAATTTTTCTAATAATTTGTCTCCAAAAGGGAAGCATTTTTCTAAATGAAATTCACCCTTTAATGAATAATATGGCTCTAATTTCATTTTTTTTTTCTTGTGTTTACAATTAGCATGATTTATATGATTTAATGTATACTTTTATTTCTAGAAAAATTATAGAAAATATAAGTACAAAAAAAAAATATTATCATTAAATTTTAAGCTAATAACTGTAGCTAGCCCACCTATTGAAAAATTTATGGTTTTCTCTTATTTTTTTGGGGTTACTCATCTAGTTAAGGTTATCTTCACATTTATGTATTAAAAAAAAAATAGAAGAGAGATGAGAGGAGTACAGTCAACAGATCGAGGGGAAGAGGGGATTTAAATTCTTTTGGTTACTCTGCAATATTATGTATCACATATATTATGTTGGTATCAAAATATTGATGCCCATAACGTTATTGATAATAATAAGCATAAGTTTCTAAAAATAAGGACGTGGTGTTGAAAACATTTGTGAAACTGGAACTGTTTCGTTTGATAGTCTTTGAAAGCAGAGGACAAAAATGCCGTTGGATTCCCTCCACACATTCCCCAGTCACCTTATCTCCTCATATGATTTTTTCTCTCTGCTTTCCCTCCAAACAACCAAAAAAGAAAAAGAACAAAAAAATATGAACCCAAATTCAGATTACCAAAAATCAGATAACCCAAAATCTTGGTCTCCATTTACTGCTCTGCTCATTCTGTAGACAGAGGATTAGTGGCCTTTTTCTCACTTCCAATGGCCACCAAATTAGCCTTCACCTTAACATCTCCAACCCCTTTTAATCCCTCTAGTCAGAGACCCTTTGTTTCGGTTTCTTCTCCCTCCACAAGGGTTGAGTCTTTTCAGTTCAGAGGGAGGCAGCTATGTCTCCGGCGCCGGCTTCTGGTTCTTCCCTCTAAGGCTACTGCTGACCAACGACAAGGTTAGGATCATCTGTCCATTTGAGGCTTTTATTATTATTATTTTTTAATTTTATACTAGCGATATTGGGGGATGGGAATCAAACTTAGGACTTCGAGTGCATAGGTAAATGATTTTAACCACTTGACCTACGAGCCCGTTGCATCCATTTGAGGCTTTGAAATTGGTGTTTGGTGCTTGCTGGTTTAAGTTTTGTGTAATTATTGAATGAAATTATTATTATTTTTTTTATGCGAATGAAATTGATTGAGCGTTATGTATGATGATTGAAATTAACTAATTAAGTAATCAATTTCAAGTCCACTGCTGTATTCATTGTGATATGAATTGAACACTTTGCTTACTATATAGGGTGTGCATAGTTAATAGATAATATTGTAAATGGGTTCGTTCTTATATCTCCGAAGTCATGAAAGAATATGGTAACAAAACAAAATGATCAACTTAGATTTTTTCTAAATGTACTGCAAAAGAAAATTAGGGACTTGTTCATAATTCAGTCTTAAATTTTTTTTACTTGCACGGACAAGTGTCGCCATGTGAAATTTACTCTATAATGTGGAATATGTTTTTTTTTTTTCCTCTCTGCGATATATACCACATTTATTGATCACATTTCTTATCGATATGGGGATCATCTACATAATTTGTTTTCTACCTCCATGTCACCTTTGTAGAAAGCAATGTAGTCAATGTTCACAAATAAGTTTATTGCTTAAATTTAAACTTCTTGCTTGGTTTTCCTTAGAAATTTCTTGAGTCAATTCCAATGTCTTTGTTTCAGACAAGGTTGAAGATGAGGAAGTTTTTGATGGCAAGATCCTGCAATATTGTAGCATAGACAAGAAAGGGAAGAAGTCTTTGGGTGAACTTGAACAAGACTTTCTTCAAGCTCTACAAGTAATTCTACACTGCATTTCAATGCTTTATATTGCTATAGTGTTTTTCTGTTAGACACATTATGATTCTATGGACAGAGAGATACAAGAAAAATACTAAATCTGGATCTCAGTCGCCTTGCACAACTAATGTA